ACAAATCGCCGGATCCCGATAAACCTGGAAGAGTCTGTGACACCAGTAACTGAAATCCCGTATTTGGCGGATGTCATATGTCATTTGTTTAGAAAAGAGTAGATGTTCCGATCCATCTGAGAACAACTGCAGTCCATATGCGTTTTGTACGGAACTGGGAGATGACGACTACACCTGTAAATGCCGCGACGGCTATGAGGATGTATCCGAGGATCCATCGAATTACCCTGGCCGAGTTTGCGAACCCTGTGCGTTTGTTCTACCGCAGCTGTTGCTATGTCAGATGTTAAGCGACATGTCTGAATTTAGTTGAAGACAAGTGCAACGACCTGACCTTGAAGGAACAGCACCCGAACGCGCTGTGTACAAAGGTCGGCAGGAAGTACATCTGGGAGTGCAAACCCGGCTACTACGACGCCTCTCCAGACCCGATGAACAACCCGGGCGAAGTTTGCGTTCAGCGTAATGCCCTACGTTCACTACGGTCACTGGTGCTCGTGTTGTAACGATGTTTGCCGTTTAGTGATCGACGAGTGCAAGAACCCTCAGAACAACAACTGCAGCAGATATGCGAAATGCATCGACAAGCAAATGGGCTACACCTGTGAATGTCTGTCCGGCTACTACGACAACAACCCTGAAATGCCGGGTCGCCTGTGCACTCTGAGTAACAACACCTCATGCTGGTCTCGGCTGATGAGGTAACGACGTTGTTGTTTCAGTTGTGAACGAGTGTGAGTACGACAACATGAACGACTGCCATCCGCACGCGACATGTACCGATCAACTGGTCGGCTATAATTGCTCCTGCAAACCGCCGTTTCATGACATGTCGCCTGATCCGAAAAAGCCTGGAAGGATTTGTCAATGTATGATGGCCACCTTTCACCACACTTTTATGATAACCGATTTTTCACTATTTTAACAAATTTCGCTTTCACTAATAATATACCATAGCTGCAGCTTACGCTATTAAATGTTTTTCCATTTCTCTACTTACCACTTAATAGGAAATTGAATCATAACGAATTAAGGTAAACGTATAATTTCGCAAAAACCTCGTCCTCCGTTTTGAGGCGTGAGAGTATAACGCAAGAGTCCTTTAAACGTTATCAAGCCGGAAAGAATTTGATCTTGTTTTTGATACCTCATATCATTCATTATGAGTCGTTCTCTGCACAAAATATTAGAAAGTTCACAGTTGCTGCTTCGAGATAAGATGGATTCCAGTCTTTATATTCAACTTTATAAACAGGATTTATAATTGCAATTTTTATTAACTTATATCATTGTGCATTTAACGCCATATAGAGCTCTGTCTACACAGGTTTATCGCAGGCGAACACCATGTCACTTGATTCATACTGTAGCAGTTTGATGCTCCTCTGACAAAAAAGCAAAAAACAGGTTACGAAGAGTTTAGTGATATTAATTAATCTACTGTTACCTCAGTTTAGTTGTTACAGCCACAACACAGATGATAGTCTTCTATGGAAACAAACTAAACCAGAGCTCCTTTGAGAAATAGGAGATATTTTGCAACATGAAGCTGAAGATCTTAAGTCATGTTGTTGTTTTTGGCAATGCTAATATCAGGATATGATAAATTATTTTCGACGATCATAAACATGTTATCTCCTATGTAGAAAATGTGAGACTCTTGTTTATATTTCAGTTACGGAAGGAACTTGTCTCCTAAGCTGATTTAATACAGATATCCAGTTTAAGCTACAGATTAATGAGTTGTGCTTTAAATAGAACTGTTTTGCTTGTTAGTCCTCAGTCTCGAAACTGAACATCATTGGAACCTATGGACGTCTGAGTTAGATTTATGAACATTTCTTACTAAGCTATTTTCGAAGTCACAGTCAAAGTCTTCGCTTTCCAAATGGATTTGCCTTAAAGGCATGAGCATATCTGTCAACCCCTGGATGTGAGCATCTTTCAAGCAAATTATTTAAAAGTCTACGATAAACCTTCAAGGCTTCCCTGGAGGCAAGTGGGAATACCCTGTCCTGTCACGTCGTATCCTGCTTAAGCTGCTAACTGTTCTCCATAACGCGGACGAAATGTTACAGTGACCTTGAACAACCGGTCGATCGCTTACATAGTTAATCGACCTACGAATTTCGTTTGTCTGAATAGCATTTTTCGAACTGAATGTCATTAACTGAATAAAAATTAATTTTTAGACAACGAGTGCCTTGATGATACCATGAATGATTGCGATTCGAATGCTGAGTGTCAAGACACCGATGAATCGTACATTTGCTTTTGTAAGCATGGCTTCATGGACGAAGACCCGACGAGACCCGGCAGAAAATGTGCTCCAAGTAGTAACTTGCCTTTCGTTATTATTGTTTTCAACGCTTCGATCGTGCTGTGTAGTCACGACGCTTCCACCGATAACAACTCCGACGCCATGCGATATACCCTGCGGCCGCAAGCGTTGTTGCTCGTCACTCGGTGAGGTTTGTCTGCAAGGAGAATGCGCCTGTCCTCCAGGATATGGCAGGAACGCTCCGAGCGAGCACTGCGTTGTGGTGGACGTTTTCCATATACCGGCTAACGTTATTCGGCGTGGATCTTACCCACTGGTTTGGACTTCGAGCTACGCCGAACCTCACAGTGCCACCAGCATCGACATGATGGATGTGTTTCTGACAGGCGTAAGCCACTTCACCTTGTGTATCGCAAGTTCTTTTCATGATCCTCTTTAAGCTATCCCAAGTAATCGAAAAGACGCCGGTGCGCAGTGGGTACATTACGTCGACGGTGCTGGACATTGCCAACCCGAAGACCATCAGTTCACAGGCAAAGGGTCTCGTGTTTAAGTCGGACATCGAGTTCAGACGAGGTTCCACCAATCAGGACGAGCTGTGCCATTACCTGAATGATGTTGTGCGTCAAGCGAACTACACCCTCGGTTCCACTGAACTGCGACTCGACCCGAACTTCGACTTCTGTGGTTAGTATTATCAAATTCCATCTGTTCTTCTGTTCAGACATTGTCGTCATTGCACGGAAAGAACAATGTTTTGCTGCCGAACAAGAATCAAGGGTGAAACTCACTATAATTATCTATTCTTCTCTCGTACTTCAGAGGAAGGGACAACGATAGGGAGTTGATGCACGCCTTTGCTTAGCAAGCCAGAGGCGCGCATTTGAATAGAGGCACATGACTGCCTAATGCGCGTGTTTTACTACCTCAATTTACCTGGACTCTGATAACTGCCTAAATCAGCACATGTGTGACCTCTTGAGTTCAAAAAGTCTGTCAGTGATATCAATGAGGAAGACGAACGAGTCTATAATATAATTGCAATAATAAAGAAATATGGCAATATGCGACACATCACAGCAAGAACTGACAACCGTTAAGCTAAAGTGATATTAAATAGAGCTCTAAGACATGGTAAAATGGCCCGTCAGAAGAAATCTGAATCAATGAAAGGATTTGCTGAGGGAATTTGTTTTAACCACGATGGATATGAATCAAAACCTTGGAGAGGCCTTTATCGAGCAGATGATCGAATAGCGCTGACGATGAAAACAGCAATAGTGATGTTAATCATGATTATCTATGAGGTTTCGCGGTCTGAGCAAATATTGGTATTGTCGGTCATCGCAAGTACGTTAGTAAGGTTCATTATTCTGCCTTTTTGCCTGTGGTATTTCATGAATAAGACGGACTTTGTCATTTGCTACTTTATTTCCATTGGATTAATGATTTTTTGACTACACCCAATGGTATTTAATGTAAACCTGTGCTGTATGTACACTGGACAGACGCTGATAGTTCACGGGTTGTTGAAAATAGTACTAGCAGAGACTGGAGTAAAACAGAGCTGTATTTTTCAGCGAAAAAAAACATCAATTCAAAGACTTCTAAATACCTATGCCCTTACGACCCCAGGCAGTGTCATGGTCCGTGAAGTGCTGTGTAGGCCCTGATTGGCACTTGCAAATATGGGAATTCACTTGCTATTGCCTCATTAGTTTTGATCACTGTCCGTCCTCCTACACCCTCCGATACATATTTGACTTTGTCAGAGAAGAGAAACCATGTCAAATGTGATTTTCATGACTGCCTCAATCCTTTTTCCGCCTATGATTTTCTTCGTTGTTTTCAGAGGGCTTCAAGGAGGCTCCTGAGAATCTCTGTGGTGATCGAGTTTGCGACAAATCGCTGAACGAAATTTGTCTCGGTGGCAAAATGTGCGGCTGTGCGTTTGGTAAAGGTCGACGACTCTCCAACGAACAGTGCGTCGGTAAGCATCAATTTCAATTGGCATAAATGACGAATGTGATAAAACCTTAACTTTGCAGACGTGATGCCAATTGAGCTGCCTTTGTGGGTGATTCGCGAAGGCCACGAGTACCTAACGTACAACCGCTCTGTTGCCAACATGGCTAGTCCGTTATACCAGCACCTGGTCAAAACCTTCACCACCGGGGTATGTTTCGTGTCGCTCGTTCTATTTTAGTACCTGCAAGCCTCTGATTGCTTCCTCCAGCTTCAGGCTAATGCTTCCCTCGATTGTGAATGACTCCCTGTTTGCGCTTGCACTAAAATCACGCTATTAGGAACCATCTCACCTCCGATATCAAATCCTCAACCGTTCCGTCATTTAGGGGTATTTGCTGCTTCATGAAAATTTGCAATAATGAATACTCTGTCGAAAGAGGTGCACTGTTCAGCAAATCCCAGCGATTGCCTTCCAATTGTTATTTCTTATATTCTTTAAAAAATTTTGAATCAATTATCCGTCCGTACTTGAAAAGATTGTCCACACTGAAGTGATTGTCCACCTTTATATGGTGCTGTATGGCATGTTGAGCACACTGGTAAGGTAACCTTTTAGTAAGTTTTCTCTACGGTTGCATATTAATGTAATCTACCGATTTAAACTATTGAGATTTTGATTAAATCATGTAGAAACCTTCACTATTGCCTCACAAATAATTTCCCAATAGAAAACAATATGCGTTCACTAGACCTCATAGATATATGACTTAAAGTAATAAACAACGCAGTTATCGCTTTGGGAAACGTAGTATCACCTCTGCCGGAAGTCCAAACAATATGAAGCAGCGAAAAAGTCGAAGTCGATAATCGTATTCACTTGCATCAAGAGATCAGCTTGCGGAATGATCAGGCAAGAGA